ATGGCAACAAAAGGCTTTAGTATCAAAAACTTTAGCATTTTCCATGGTTCAATAAATCTTTCAAAATCTGGGCCTCAAAGTATTGAGCCCTTGTTTACACTTCCGTGGAGTACACAAACCTTGCTATCCAAACTTCTGCTTTGCTGAAGAGCCCCTCGCTGACCCCTAGAACTAGAAGTCCAGAGAGCTGAGCTGACCACTCCTAAATCAAAAATCTGCTGATAGCTGGAAAAAAAATTAGTTATTTGTAAAATCAGGCTTGAAAAGGAAAAACGCTTTTGCTGATTAATTAGTCTAGCTCATTCCTAGGACATTCCCAAATGTAAGAATGTAGTAAGTTATATAACAGAAGGCTGCACAAAGCCAGCACAAGTGTAACTATAAACTAATTTCAGTCCTAACAGCAGGACATTAGAAAACTTCATATAATGCAACTGCACAGCTAAATTCACTCTTGTCATCTGGATCAAGAGTCTGTAATTACTTTCTGAACTCCCATCACCTCTTCCCCTGCACTCCTTTGCTCTCCACACAGTCATGCAACTTTATGTGTCACAGTTCAAAACTCTCAAACTGTAACTATTTTAACTCACTCTCTTCCTCCCACATCCGGACTCAGGCTTAATTTCCAGGGAGATGGGCACAGTTCACTACCAGTGGCAGTCCCAAGCACGACACTTTGCACAACAGGGAATCAGAAGCAGAAAGGAACAGTGGCAGAGGCGGGAATACCCTGAAAGTCTTAGCTTTATTGCACAAGACAAACAAGATACTTGCTTCAAGGACACTTTCATGTAGCGGAAAGAGCTCCCATAAGGTACAGTCTATCAACTACTGATATTATATGAAAATTCAATACTCAGTTTTAACAGTAGCTATTTGACAACCCTGTATTTTTGAAAGCAGTCATGAGGATTTCAGGTGAAGTGCTAGAGAAACACCCGGTAGCTCAGCAAGTACTCTCCTGCTTACAAAACTGTTATAAGCTTGTAATGTTTCACAAAGCAAATGTGACACTAAGAACTGCTGTTCCTTCTTCTCCCCTTAAACAGAAAAAAAAAATCTTAAACTCTCTTGCAAGTTTCACTGCATTATTGGAAAGTGACAGCACTGATTTAAACCTCTGCACTGTCAAAATCTGCAATTGAAACTCACTATGTTGACAGATTAAATACCAAGTTAATAGGGATATCTCTAAATGTAAATGATTAAATTTTGGAAAGGTCACCCTGTTGTCCATTAGTATTGTAACATCAGATGAATGGAGCTTGTCACCATAAGGTGGAGAAAACATTTTACAATGCCATCTAGCATAATAAAACCTTATTCTTTTCTGCATCTAATAGTAATTTTATTTGATCAGCATTTTAGAATACATCTTATGCAAGCTGTCCATTCTCTGTTCAAATACACCCACACGAACACTCAAGCTCATAAAACAATCTGAATGGGCCATTAATGGCATTTTCCTCTACACTAGCTGTGCTCCCAAACAAACTTTCAAAGTCACCGAAGTAATCTCCTCAAAAGAAAGTCCTTATTAGAGGAATTTTAAGTACATATGCTGGCTTATACCCAGAAATCAAGCTTTCTCGGAAGTAGAGACATCTGTATTTATGTTACCTTCTTTGCACAGTTTAAGTAATCCATCCAAGTCCCACAGAGACACTGGAAAGAAGACGGAACCACTGAAAATTTTCTTCTCATTTTTACAGGCAAAACTATTCTTGTTCAGGCTCTGATGTCACTACGATGAGCTGAACAGCGAGATCACTTTACTAAGCTAAGGGAAAATACCATCACCAACCAACACTTAACTCGCCGACTATCATTTAGTTTTGCTTTAATGCAAGTATTATCTTTACTATAGTCACTACAGCCATAAGTTCCCAACGTGAGAACACATGCATTTCCAGGAATTGTATTTCCTCAAATATGTAGGAACTGAAATGAGAAAGTTCTCTGTAATACTGGTCCAACAGTCTTTGACTGAAAAGCAATATTGGGACTTCAGGACTCCAACAACTGATTTTCTTAAACAGCAGATCTCAGAATCATATTTTGTAACTTAAAATATATATATATGAATTTTGCTTATCCAAGTATACCATGTACAAGAGAAGATTCAAAGACCTCAGCTTTTGTAGTATCTGAAAACTCTTTGTGAAACAGTATTTTTAAGTATTCATCTTCAGCAACCTTTAAGATAAGCTGACAAAGTCCAATATGAGCACCTCATCTGTATTTTGAAGGATCTTTTCTTAGCATGACTCCCTGAGGACAAGGCTTATGTTGTCATCATACGTACCAAGATCCACGCTGCCTCAGACCCCACCACACACACACAACCTTATTCCACTTTCAGTAAAGCACTCACAGAGGCTGAAGGCTCTCAAGAACCACCAAGTTACACTAAGGAACAATGAGCTTTACAAAAAGCCAACAGCTGATTAAAGACCCCCTCCACAAGCAATGTAGCATAGGAAAAGCAGCAGCAGACACTCGTGTATTAAACATGAGAATCCATGTTGAACTGTAGAACAGCCGGAATGCTGTGAAGCTTGCAAGTTCATAATCACGAAGAGAACATTTCCTTAGGTTAGTGCAGGAGCTAGAAACATTACATGTTTAATTAAGAAATGGAACTCCCGATGAAAGCAGTTTTTGTACACAGCTCTACACTCACTGAACCAGTGACAGTGCTACATAACCCTCTCCTTGGGAGGAGCAGCAGGAGCACCCGGATGCCTTAGCAGCACTCTCACTGAAGTACAACTAGACTTTTAGCAGCCCACGTTTAATTCTTGGAACAGCTTAAGCTTTTCTACTCCCACGGGGAACTGTAACAAGTGAGGCCAAGTTTGACTAATGGCGCTATTAAGACCACTTGTGTAATTCACACTTCACTGAGAGCAATTTACAGCAGTGGCATTTTTAGAAACTCCAGTATCTCTTTACCTATATTGTGTGTAAATCCTTCAAGGTGTCTGACAGCCAAGGGCATATTACCACATCACTTCATAAATCAACCACATATCAAAAGGATTCAGAAAAAGGTGGGAAAAAAGTTATTGCCCTATTAAGTCTTTTCATACAAGGGTTCCACCCTAAGACTCACTAATGCAACACATACTGCAACACTCCAAACCTTCCCTCAAAATGAAGCTGTGATATTGAGGGCTGCTGAGGGAAAACAAATAAAAGCTATCTAATCTTATTCATTTATTAACTCAGAATATCTGAACTCCCAGTCAAGGTTCAGCTCCAAAGGCAACATCAAAAGCTGCTCAGTTTAAGAGGAGAATTTGAACCACATAGAGAGCTTCAGACATGGTGGTGTTGCTCCAATCAAAATGATCAATTCCTCAGTTTTCTTGAAGACTGAAGTACACTTTTTTTTAAAAAAGAAGTTATGTATAACAGTATTTCTTAGTGTCTATCACTTCTAACACACATCCTGAAAGAAGATGTGGACTGTTTTTTGTTGATTTTTAACCCGGCAAAAAAGCTTTGATACGTACCAATGAAAACTGATCTAGTTTGGAACAACGGGTTATTTCAGTTATTTAGACTGCACAAATACCTCTATTCCTATCCAAAGCCTTGCCATTTTAAACAAGAGATGGATGAAAATAACCCACAAAAAGAAAGCCTTATTATTTCAAGTGTTGAACACCACGAATATCAAGATGGGGCTATAAGCAGTCACATAGGCTTGCCTTTTAAAGGATCATTACTAACTTGAAAATCCTTCTCAAGTTAATAAAAAAAATTAAATTGGATGCCACATCAGCTTGGAATAACAGAAGGGAGAAAGAAATCTCAAAAGAGAAAAAAAAAAAGAAAATGCATGTCATGAATAAATCCTAAGTATATTTAATACTAAGAAAAAAAAAAAAACCTCAATAATTTGGTCTTCCAAATGTCCATGGTGGGGGGATAGCTGCTGCAGCCTGGCCGAGGGAGCTATTTTATTAACTATGTCTGTCAATGACTATTACATCGGTTGCCTGTTATATCTGACCAAGAGCCTCAGCCGGAAAAGCAGAGGCCCGCAGAGAGAGCACTGCACTCCAGGGGAGGAAGGACTTTAACGGGTCCACATYACTGTGCTACATGCCTAGAGCACTGCGCATTAAAACCGCTGTAAAACCTCCAAGTCTGTGGAAAACGCAGGGTTTTTTTTAAGGGAGCAGGAAGTAATGCCACTGGATTACAGRCAAACCAGATAGTCCAGGAAGTTCAGCAGACACTAAGTCGCCGTCGCCCCAGCCTCGGGGACGCAGAATCCGTGGGAGGAAAGCGCCCGACACGAGCCCAACGGCCGAGGCCCGGGGAGCGCAGACCGCGCGCCAGGCCCGGCGCGGCACCCACCTCCTCCAGGAACTTGGTGACGTCGTAGATGCGGTTGTGCAGGATGAACCAGGTGCTCTGGCTGTTGTTGTGCTTCTGCACCTCCTCGAGGCGGTAGTAGCGGCCGCGCCACGGCTCGTTCCCGCCGGACCCCACCATGGCCCCTGCCCAACCGCCACCCGCGCGCGCGGCGCCYGCCGCCCCCGCGCCCGCTACTCACCCCCTGCGCGCGCGCTCATTGGAGCCCGCGCCGCAGCCTATCGCCGGCGCCCTCGCTCGGCCCGCCCCCTCCGTCGCAGCTTCTCATTGGCGTAGCGGCATGCTCTTCACAGGCGGCCTTGGCCTGCCCGCCTAGGATTGGCGGACTCCTCTAGGGGCCGAGGGCGTGTGGGCGTGGCCGGGCGTAAACGGCGTCCAGTAACGACCGTTGGGTCGTGTTGCTGTTCCCTGCAGTTGTGGGGCTGTGCTTGTTGCTCGGCACTCTGAAATAGGCGGTTTTATTTGGTGATCTTGAAGGTCTTTTCCAACCATAGCTATCTTCCTGGGCGACCTTATGCGCCGGCGGAGGCCGTGTGGGGTGCCACGAGTTAGCTGGCCGCCCCTCCGGTCAGGTGTCAGCGGCTCGGGCTTGCGGTTGGCGAAACCGGGCTGCCGGTCGCGCCGTCGTTAGGTGCGCGATATTCCGGCCCTCGTGCAGCACTTGGAGTCAACCCTAACTGCGTGCGTGCTGCTTCACTGAAATAAATAAAAAAAAAAATGTTGGTGGGTTTGAAGCGCAGGCGAGGCTTAGAGCCCCTCAGCACCCGCCTCGCGGCCTGCCAGGGCGCGCTCCGGGTTGTTACCGGCCCGGGAGCGGGCGGCGAGGCGGCTCCGAGGGGAGCGCCCTCGCTTCGCCGAGCTGCCTTCGCCTTCACYGAGGGCGGGCGCCGGCGCGCTGAGCTGCGGTGCATCAAGCGCGGGGCGGTGCCGAGCTCCTTGACTCACAGCAGAGCCTCTCTTGCAACACGGACGGGCGTCCTGTGCCGCCGGAGGCTGCCGCGGAGCGCCCGCGCAGCCCACGCGTGCGGAACGGCCGCGAAAACATGTCACTGCTAAGGAAAGGAAAAGGAGGAGAGCGGAGGGGCCCCTTGCGACACAGCCGGCCCTCCGGCCGGCCCCGGCGCGGGGGCAGCGCCCCGCGCCCCCTGCACGGCAGGCGGCGGCTGGCGGGGAGCTCGTCCTAGACCCGCTCCCCGCCCGGGCCGCAGGGCTCGTCCTAGACCCGCTCCCCGCCCGGGCTGCAGGGCTCGTCCTAGACCCGCTCCCCGCCCGGGCCGCAGGGGTCTGACCTGCTCCCCCTCCC